GATAATGCACTAGTAGGCATTGAGGAGTGGGTAGTAGTTTGTGTTCGGAGCCGTGGTCAAAGGAGAGCCTGGGTTGGGGCTATTTGATAAAGGGGCTAGCCTCATAGCCTCTAATAAAGGGATTACATTTTCATTACTGGTCATGGGGAACCTGGATTATGTAAAAAGGCCTAAACGGTCCACCTCCTTTCGCTACTGAAGGTAAGGGCTAGATTAGTCAGGAGTACCCTGCCATAGTTCCCGCAGGCCGTTCAGGACTGGCCTTCATCCTCTCAGCACGGCTCTCACACCTTAGGAAGTAGATAGTAGAAGGGGATGGAGAAGAGACGGAAACAAAAGCTGGAGAGGGAAAAGACCATGCAAAATTAGTTGAGTCGAGGGCTGAGGCCGTAGGCAGGGGAGATCCCAGTATTGGGTCTCAGTCTTCGTCTCCTAAGCCCCCCCCCCCCACGACAACAACGGGCAAGGGATTGGGGGTATCGATTGCATCGAGGTGAGCAAAAATGGAGGTTGTGGCAGAGGAGTAGATATGGCATTCATAATCTAGAGTGGTGAGGATCAAGATAACATGAAGATGGAGGAGAGTTTTGCGATCTGAGGATATGTGGGAATTTGTAAGATTCGGAGGCGGTGATGAACTTTTTCTTTAGTGTAAAAGATATGGTCTCGTCAAGACAATTTGGAGTCAAAAATAATGCCAAGGGATTTGCCAGAGAAACGGTATTGGAGTGGAGCTCCAGATAAGAAAGAAGATCCTGATGTTATTGCAGGCAAGCGAGTGTCTTCTCCACAATCTGACCATTTTTTTTTCTGGGGAGATAGAGCCAGTTCCGGTACAAGTATTGAGGGTTGGATGAGGTCCTGCGGGAATGGGGTTGCCAGAGAAATCAGAGTTGATAATGCTATAGCTTGGGTTTCGGATATGAATGTAACGAGACAGGAACGGTCAGGTCGGCTACGGAAAGAGATTTTGCCTACTTGTTTTTGAAGACGTTGCTGAAAGAGAAGAGTGTTGTCAGAGTAAGGAGTTGTAGGGGGATAATGGAAAATCGGTCCCATTTGGCTGGGCTAATATTTAAGATATTTGTAGAGATGGGAGTGGTTGAAGGACGGGGACGTGTGGAAGGGGGAGTATGGGGTGATTGATGAAGAAGGTTGTGGGCGTAGAGTTGATGGAGTTATGAATGTTGGGAGAGGGAATGCCTGCTGGAGATTATGTCTTGACTTGGGTGGATAATGTACTAGTAGGCATTGAGGAGTGGGAAGTAGTGTTCAGAGTCAAAGTGTTCAAAGGAGAGCCTGGGGTCGGAGAGCCCGGAGAGTTTGAATTAGTGGGGCTATTTGATGAAGGGGCAAGCCTCATTGCCCCTAACAAGGGTATAACTTCTTCAATATTGGCTACGGTAAGCCCAGACTATATTGGGGAAAGCAACAGTTCACTCCACAGGGTCTCCTTAAGGGTAAGGGCTAGACAACTAAAACGGGAATACCGTGCCCATGGCTCCTTCAGGCCGTTCAGGACTGGCAAAAGTTAGCCTTTCATCCTTTCAACACGGTTCTCACACCTTAGGAAGTGGATAGTAGAAGGGTTGGAGAAGGGACGGAAACGGAAAAGCAGGAGGGCAAAAAGACAAAATTAGTTTAGTCGTGGGCTGCGGACCAAAGTAGGGGAGATCCCCAGCATTGAGTCCCAGTCCTCGCCTCCTTAAGCCCTCCCACGGCAACAATGGAGTCTGGGTAAAATAGTGTAACTCGCGCAACACTACTGCTACTGCATCATAATCGGCAAAGCAAGTAAATAGGTTATTTTCAGTCTGACCAGTCCTTGTAGATAAGACAGGCATCTGGGGAGATAGAAACAGTTCCGGTACAAGTATTAAGAGGGGTGAGGTTCGGCAGGAATGGGTATGCCAGTGGTCTTCACGAGCTTGGGATTCAGATGTAACTGTGACAAGGCGTGAACGATCGGAGCGACGGCGAAAGGTAACCATGTCTACTTGTTTTTGGAGGCACTCTTGAAAGAGAAGGGTACTTTCAGAATAGGGGGCTGTGGAGGGAATCACAAAGAATCGATCCTAAAGAGAGTACCCAAAATGTTTGCAGAGGTAGAGGTAGTAGAAGGACGAGGGCGAGGTTAAGATGGGGTGGTGTGGAGTAAGGTAGTTCTGTGGGTAGGACAATACGGATGGAGAGAAGTAATAAGGGACGAGGAGGTAAACATTGAAGAAGACTGTGTAGTAGGATATGAAGAGGAGAATGTTAGGAGAGAGGAAAATGTGCTTTCTGGAGGTCGGGTAATAAAAATGTGGAAAAGAAACGACCTACCTCTCAGGATGAAGATACAGAAGAGGAAAAGAAAAGAACAGACCAAGCAAAAATAGCTGAGCCGAGGGCTGAGGCCCAAGGTAGGGGTGATCCTCAACAATGGGCCTCCGTCTCCTAAGCCCTCCCACGACAACGAGCAAGGCATTGGGAGGGGGCACATGTACGTGATTGAGCAGGGCAATTTGAGCGGTCATGACCAGGTTGAGTACATAAAGGACAGCGGGTTGTTGAGCTAGTGTTCGGCTAGGAGGCCAAAACGCCAACATTTCTGACATTGGCGAGGGAGGAGTCGGTATGATCGGACAAAGTAGGACAATTCACCAACCATGTGAGAAATCTGGTCTAATCTTGGCAATATTGGCATGGGAGGAATAGTGTGGCACTGTACTGTTACGGCATCATAATCAGCAAGGCAGGTAAGGTCATTTTCAGTCTGACCAGATCTTGCCATAGATAAGACAAGCAGTCGGGAAGACAAACCGTTCCAGTACAAGTATTAAAAGAGGGGTAAGGTCGGCGGGAATGGATTTGCCAGTGAGGTCAGTTAGGACAGATACCAAACGAGTTTGGGATTCAGATGTAACTGTGACAAGGCATGAACAATCAGAGGTAACCTTGCCTACTTGTTATTGGAGACACTGTTGAAAGAGGATATTCTCAGAGTAGATGCTGTGGATGGAATCGCAAAGAATCGATCCTACTTGGCATGGCCAAAGAGAGTACTGAAAAGGTTTGCAGAGGCAAAGCTAGTAGAAGGACGAGGACGGGAGGAAGGTAGGGGTGTTGTGGGGGATAACGGATGAATAGTAAAAATAAGGGAAGATCAAGTAGACATTGAAGACTGTGCAGTGGGAAATGGAGAGGAGAATGTTGGGAGAGAGAGTGCCTTCTGAAGGTAATAATAATAATAATAATAACCTGGGTGAGTGGCTTGGAATGGATATAGTTGTCAGTAAACGTTGAGGGGGCGAGGAAGTATTAGTATCAGTGGTCGGATAAGTGGTCATAGGAGGGGCAGGGATAGGAAAACCAACAAAATCAAATTTAGATAGGCCAGCTGATGAAGGGGCAAGCCTTAATGCCCCTATTGATGAAAAAGAATCTTCATTATTGGCCACGGTGAGCCTGGGTCCCCGTAAGGAATAAGGGCTAGCAGGTAACCAAGGGAATACCATGCCCATGGCTCCTGGAGGCCGGTCTTGTCTCTCACAAAGGCAGCCTTTCATCCTTTCACAATGGGTCTCACATCTCAGGAAGTGGACAGAAGGGGATGAAGAAGGGAAGGAAAATGAATGGGGATGAAAAAAAAAGACCATGCAAAATTAGGCTAGGTGAGGGCTAAGGCCCAGGGTAGGGGTTATCTCCTACATTGGGCCTCAGTCTCCGTCCCCTAAGCCCCCCCCCCCTCACCACAACAACGAGATATGGATTTGAGGGGTTTGGAAAATAAAACTAAATTAAATATTCTGATTTAATTTTCTTTGAAAACATGGAGATATCTATTGGACCTCCTATGTTCATCCTGTGTACAATCACCTAAAATATACCCTGGACTACAAGTTGCTACTGGAGCCAGATAATATGATAGCAAAGAAAGGTAAGAGAGGTGAGGAGAGATGAGGGAAGAGGTGACACGAAGACAAACTGACAAGCATAGGATTAAGCCCTGTAAAATACTTCCAACAAAAAGTCCAATCATACAGTCTTCAGGTAATAAAATAAAAAAGGAAATTCCAGAATATACTTTTGAAAGTCCAGAATATAATCTTAGATGATTATACCATTAAATACAAATGGTCAAGACAGCTGCAAGGGAAAGGAATTGTCTAATTCAAAAGTTTAGGGAGGTATTGTTGACCTCCTCAGAACTCTTTCCTTGCTGAATAAATACAATCAAAACCATTTACTCCAGCTAGAAACGGAAGCTGAAATTTATTTGTCAAATCACACGGTTAAACTTGTTCAACAAATTAAAACATGAAATATATCGCCATATGGTTATCCTTGACGCCATTAGTTTTTTTCTTTTATTGTGAAATGAAATATATAATAGTGACACAGGTATTGCAGTGAATTGGCCAATAACATAAAACAATTTTTAAAGGTGGTATATCACCACTAAAAATTGACATTAATCACCTGCATCCTTCAAAAAATGTAGTTCCCAGTTTAATTATATAACTACGAACATTGTAGTTTGCCTGAATAAATAAACTAACAAAATGAGGAAAAACAAACAAAAATAAAATATAAATAAACAAACACACAAATGACAACTAAAGAAAGAAGATGGCTATAAACCAAGAAATATGTATTTCTTACCACATAGAATGTTAATGCAAGTTCGCACATATGTCCTCTTGAAGATCAACTGATATGTTATTGCAGGAAATATATAATTCTGTTCTGAATAATAAAGGAAATGTTCATATACTGGGACTGATAACAGAAAAAAAATCAAACATCTAAGAATCTGCATTATATTTGTGCAATATAGAAATTCAAAAGAAAGAGAGAGAGAGAGAAAAAAAAAAAAAAAAAAAAAAAAAAATCAGTACTGTTTGAATAATCAAATACAGATAAATATATGCAGATCAGGCGTGTGTGTGTATACATATATACACGCACACGCATGCACCTACTGACACACACACACACAAACACACATGCACGCACACAAACACACGCACGCACGCAAACACACACACACACACACACTGACTAGTATATATATTTATATCTATATCTATATATCCAAATATATATAGATATACTATGTATGTAATATACTCCCATTTCAGAACCCTAAAAGATTCATACAAAAGAAAATAATAATTAATAATAAATAAAATAAACACTGGTATCTTAAAAATCTTGTATGATTTCCTTCTATGCAATAATGTTTTTGCAAACCATGTGAATTTTTCGTTTACATATTGGGCATCTTGAACCACTGTTTAGTAGTCGTCTGGCACACTGGTAGCATGTGGCCTGATGAGAAAGGCGGCCATGGATAATTGATGCATTTTTTGGTCTCAGAAAACAGACTGAACACATGATAGACAGTCCAGATGGTGGTTCATGGACATCCGTACTTGACCCACTACCCATATTTGCCACTATAGCCTCCATCAAGACTTCCTTTACAGGTGCTGATGAAAGGAATGGTTTACTGTCTGGTGATTTCAACCATTCCTTCCCAGAACTAGATTGCAAGAATTGGTAGAAGCTTTTTGCTTGCTCCTCCACATCTCCTTCTTCACTCTCTTCTTCACTTGAAGACTCTAGTTTAGCTCTCTTGGAAGATTTACCTTCTTCCTCTTCTGCAGGCAAAGACTTTCGCTTTCGACTTTGTGAGTCCTCTTTACTTTCTTTTGCTTTCAAGACTGAAGCTGATGTTGTGTTCAAGATTTCACTGGTGTTTGGCTGCTCTTCTGCAGAGCCTGACTGACTTGTCTCTTCAACTTCTGTGTCAGTCTGCTTATCTATATTTTTATTGTCTTCCATAATGGATTCTGGACTGAAGTCTAAGAAACTATCTTGAGAAAGACAGACGCCAGAATCCTGTGAACTATGAATATCTAGGGAAAGACTCCTTACAGGTGATGCACTAACTGAGATAGTGGAGGCTGTTGAAAGTGTTTTAGTTAAAACTCCAAAATCCTGAACCTCTTGACTACTATCACTTATGAAAGAGGGAGATGTAGTTGACTGTTTTTCATCTGTCTCTTTGCTTTGAAGAAAGTTTGCATCCTCGGACTTAACTGAATCTGAGCGTAACCTAGACCTCTTTCTTGGTCTTGGCTTCCTTTTCCTCCTACGTTTTTTTGGTCTGTCTGGTAACCAGTTCTTCCTTATCTGAAATGTTAAAGATATTGATAATCAGAAACACAATATTATTATTTCAAAATCAACACATTAATGCTTCAGTGTATACAGTAGAAATATCTTTGATAAATATATCACAGTACACTACAGATTAATTACTTGGTAATTAGCGTTTTATGTTATTGTAATCATTCTCTGAATCATTTCTTATTTTCTATATTTACTTATCCATATGTTACAATTCTAAAGTACTAATGATATGTAAACAACGATAGGTTACCAATAAAGTATTTAAATAATTCTTGTAAACAATCATTGCAAGTCAATATAATAATCTGTAATCACCATTGCTGAAACCTGTTGGACAACACAGTTACAGTCTTCTTTATATAAAAGTTGTGTGGCATTTGAGACATTTTATAATAGAAATATCTGGTAAGTTGCCATTAAAAAAATATACCAAAAGAACATGATCCTGACCAGTTTGAAGTAATTTTCAATATTTACATTGCTATTATCATTATATATATAAATACCTAAACTCGAGGGTTCAAATACAGATAAATAACAGATATTATGAGGAAACAAATCCTACCCCATATTCATCATTTATACACGAGTGATATCAATTAACCCATTGGTTCCAAATGCTTCACTCCCATTACATGGCCCAAAATACAGGCATTAAGCTTACATGAGCAGCCACTCTGATAGGTGTGTGGCTTGTAGGACAGGTGCAAATGAACACTCAAGGTGACGACTTCATGCCCCCCTTTGCAATGTTATTTCCTCTTTTTCTGTGTAAGCATTTCTGGCTTTTATAGCATTTTTCAATGTCTATATTTGACATTTGATTTGCTTTATTACAATGGCAATAGACTATTTTCCTTGCATAAACTTCATATCATGTCTCTAGCTAGTCCAATACAAAGTTCAATAATAATTCAATAAAAATACGTAACATTGTCATTTTTGTCTATTTTTCTTTTCTTTTTTTATTGTTCAATTTTCTGTAATACAAACTGTGCCACCAGTCATGGTGCCCAGGAATAGGGTCCCGAGTAGGGAAATATCAAACTAATTTATTTATAGGAATAAGGTAAAAGCCCCTCCTTAAATGCCAAATGAGTCTCTTTATCCTCCAAGAGTTTTGTGCACTTGTGGCCTTCAGTCAATATGTTTGCAATGGCAAATGTGTCATTCCGGCACACAGATATTCCCATGACAGCATGTTCCCGTCATCCGCCCCTCAAGCCAAATTTTTCCATGACATGATGGTCACATCATCTGGATATTAAGGGTTGTCTAAAGGACAAATGTTAACCTTAGTTATTTTCACAAGTTCAAGTGAGGTTCACACAAATATCAATTTATCAAAGAATAAATAATCATGAAAAACATAGGATCCAGCAAAAAATCCTACTAAGATCTCACATCATTTGGAAAATACCTCTTTTAACACACACAAAAAAAAGCCTTCAGATAATACTTTACAAATTAATTTTAACAATCATCTCACCTGCCAGCACTTCCCACAATACCGCACAAACGGCTTGTTTCTGAGACCACATGAAAGACAATCCCAGCGTTCAGCAACTAGCTCTGGATCATCATCTGTTGACTGGTCCTCTGTGTCTGAATCATCAGCCCAGAAATCCGAATCGTCTTGACACAAGGTATGGATAGCTATCAATGCCACCTCAACATCCTGAAAGGAAAAATAGAAACACAATAATGAATATACCATAACAGAGAGTGAGAGAGAGAGAGAGAGAGAGAGAGAGAGAGAGAGAGAGAGAGAGGGAGAGAGAGAGAGAGGGAGAGAGAGAGAGAGAGAGAGAAGAGAGAGAGAGAGAGAGAGAGAGAGAGAGAGAGAGAGAGAGAGGAGAGAGAGAGAGAGAGAGAGAGAGAGAGAGTGAGAGTGAGAGAGAGAGAGAGAAAGAAATCAAGAGAAAATGGAGAGAGAGAGAGAGAGAGAGAGAGAGAGAGAGAGAGAGAGAGAGAGAGAGAGAGAGAGGAGAGAGAGAGAGAGAGAGAGAGAGAGAGAGAGTGAGAGAGAGAAAGAAAATCAAGAGAAAATGAGAGGAGAGAGAGAGAGAGAGGAGAGAGAGAGAGAGAGAGAGGAGAGAGAGAGAGAGAGAGAGGAGAGAGAGAGAGAGAGAGAGGAGAAAATCAAGAGAAATGAGAGAGAGAGAGAGAAAGAAAATCAAGAGAAAATGAGAGAGAGAGAGAGAGAGAGAGAGAGAGAGAGAGAGAGAGAGAAGAGAGAGAGAGAGAGAGAGAGAGAGAGAGAGAGAAAATAGTGAGAGAGAGAGAAAATAGTGAGAGAGAGAAAAAATAGTGAGAGAGAGAAAGAAAATGAGAGAGATGAGAGAGAGAGAAAAATGAGAGAGATGTAGAGCTAGAGAAAGAAAGAAAAAATGAGAGAGATGTAGAGAGAGAAAGAGAAAATGAGAGAGATGTGGAGAGAGAAAGAATGAAAATGAGAGAGATATAGAGAGATAAAAAAAGAGAAAATGAGAGAGACAGAGAGAAAGAAAGAAAGAGAAAATGAGAAAGAAAGAGAATATAGAGAGAAAGAAAGAGAAAATGAGAGGAAAATAATAGCGAGAAAAAAATGAGAGAGAACAATAAAGGAGGGAAAGAAAAAAAGAGAAAACTATAAGAGACAGGAAAAAAGAGAGCAAAAGAGAAAGGAAGAGAGAATAAGCAAAGTAGATCAGATAAGAGATGAGACAAGATGAGAGAGAAAATAGGAGTGCAAGAGAAGAAAGAATGGAAAGAAGAGAAAAGTGCAAAGAAAGAGAAGAAAAGTGAGAGAGAGAGAGAAAGAGATCATTAACAATATGCATTCATATGCTATTTCTTTTCTATTTTTGTTAGATTTCCCCACGTTCCTTATATATCTCCCATTATACAAGGAACTGTCTCGCTTTTACTTAAAATCTATTATTTGTGAGGGAGTGACTACACACTCAACCAAAGACATTTTAATTATAGTTCCCCTGAGGATGCAATATTGAAGTCCATAATCACAGGCCTACTCTTTTGACAACTGCAGGTAAACAAACCTCAATCACAGAGTCATCATCATCAGAATGATCCTGTTCTTGGACATCATCATCATCATCTGCTATCTCATACTCCTCAAACAGCTCACTCTCATCCCCTGCCTCATCCTCACTTTCCTCAAATTCAGTGTTCCGGCAAAAGGCTGTAAAGATATATTCTACAATGTACTAGACATTACAGAAAGTGCAAGAAGGGATATCTGTAAAAGCTTCAGTGCAGGTCAAAAGCATGTTTGTGTGTAACATGTGCAAAATAACCAAATTCAACGTTCACTCAAAACCAAACACACAGAATTATGTGAAAGTCTAGCCATTATATGCTGTACATTAAGCACACAGGCTGTACACTTTGACCGAGTTACTGTTGATATTTTTAATTCTAAATTTGATTAAGATAAAAGGATGATGTAAAAAATATTATATTATAACTCCTATATATGAACACTGTGACAAATGTAGAAAAGGCATGAATACAAGATATGTATTTAACAGGTACTCTTCATTAGCAATATATGTTCTACACTCAAATATTTTTATGGTAAATAAATAAATAAATAAATATATATATATATATATATATATATATATATATATATATATATATATATATATATATATATATATATATATATATATATATATAAATTCATTTTAAAGAATATAATATGAAATAAGTTTTTCTTATAATAGTCCAATATAAAAGAATAGTCTCTATTTCACAGAAAATCTTAATCAATTTCAAGAAAACTAATATTAAAGAAATAAAACCTACACATGATACCTTCAAATAAAAAATAATCAAGTATTAAACACACCTGTCTCGTAGCCTTGATAGCTGTAAATGGACTCCACATCAGAATTACTATCAGGAATGTCAGGAATACAAATTGAGTAAGAGGCTATGCTTCTCGTCCTGTGCCGTCTCCTTCCTCCAAAGACATTTTCTGAACTCTGTCTTGAGGATCCAGCCACAGGACTCACAGCTGCTGAAGTTGATTCAGATACAAGTCTGCTACTGCTTTCTGCAGTAGTGGTACTGCTAACTATGCATGTGTTGAGTCCTGGAAGCTGTGTTCTGCCATTGGTTTCATTCTTTCCTTTTATGACATTTATTGCACTACAGTTACTAGTCCTTTCATCACACACATCAACTGCTCTCTGTGTATCACTATCAAGAACTGCTCTGTGTGCCCTTGCAATGTCAACACCTGTGGTGTCAGGGGGCTGCTGAGTTAATGTATTTTGTACAGGCCTTGTCTGCTCTCGTCTAATCTGCTTGGCCATCAACAATCTGGAAAAATATCCATTTTCATCTTAGTTACTTATCTTTCAATAATTTATGCAAAATGGATGTCCATAAAAATATATACTTATACATACATATCCATATACACCCCCCACACACACACTCTTACACTCTCTCTAACCCATTGTAAGTAGAAGTACAATTACAAGAGAGGTGATTATTGAAGCCTTAAAGATTTCTTTGATGGCATAAACTGGGAACCACTTCTGGGTGATGAGAACATTGATGTTCAATATTCAAAGATTTGTTGTTTATGGAAAAGAAAAGAAAAAAAGAAAGGGGAAAAAAAAAAAAAAAAAAAAAAAAATCAAAACTGAAGCGACAAATGCAAGAAAATGAGAGAAAACAAGCAGCTCCTTTGGAAAAGATTCAGAAGCCACAGATCTCAGGCAGTGTATGAAATATATAAAGTAGGAAAAAATGAGTATACCCAAACCATGAGGGAGGCTAAATTAGACTTTGAAAAGGATAATCAACAAATGTATAAGTCAACCAAAGCTCTTCTTTAATTTCACAAATAGTAAAACTAACAGTAGAGATCGAATTAGGGCAATCAAAGACAATAACATTGTTTATACTACGGAGGAAGAAATGTGTGAAATCATAAATGAGAGATTACTGTCAGTCGTTGTTCAGGACCTGTACTTTGATATGGCAAACACCCACACAAACATAAAGAACCCCTAAAATATCACCCTCAAAAAGAATGAAATAAAAGATCTACTAAAAGGATTTGACGAGATCAAAGCCGAAGGCTTAGATGAGATTTCTAACTGGGTTCTTAAAAAATGCACCAAAGAACTATGTACTCCATTATTATTAATATTCCAAAATTCAGTGAAACAAAGTAAACTACCAAAGAGTTAGAAATGTTACACCCTTATATAAGAGCAGCAACAAAAAGACCTCTGAATTAAAGCCCAGTTTCATTAACTAGTGAGTATGCAAGCTGTTACAAAGGATGATTAGGAAACAATGGTTTAAAGAACTTGAAAAACAAAGTGATATCAAATAAACAATTTAATTTTAGAGATGGTCATGTGTAGCAAATCACCTATTTTTTTGATATCTGAAATAACACATGAAAGAGATGGCTGGGATGCTTACGTGTACTCAAGACTTTAAAAGGCTTTTGACAAAGTGATTCACCCTTTGGAAATTAGAGGTGGAGTGAAAAGCAAACTCCTCAAATTGTTGAAAAATATTCTTCATGAAACACAGATGAGCTCAGTAATAACACGAAAGCATTCTACATGGCAATGAGTAACCAGCGGATTGCCTCAAGGTTTGGTCTAGGTGCCGATTAAGTTTACTATTTTCGTCAATGATTTAGCGTCAAATATAAGCCCATGTAGTTATCTGAATATGTTTGCAGATGATGTGAAAATATAAAAAAGGATGATAGACATCTCATGCCAATGCCTCAAAAGTAACACCAAAAATTTATTTGGGTGGAGTTGCACTTGGAAAATGGAATTTCAACACCAATAAATGCCACAGTCAGATTCGGGGAAAGAAGAAATCGCCCACAATTCCAACATAAATTAGGAGACGCCATATTGACGCCACTGCTAACAAGGAAAGAGAACTTGGGGTAATCATTAAAAGAAATCTATGTCCAAATGATTATATAAATTAATAGGTCCATAAAAGGCTAGGACTGGTTACCAACATAAAGAGTGCATAAGTGTATGTGGATACAAATATGGTAAAGATTAAATTATCAGACAAATATGATAAAGATTAAAGCAATATATATATATTTTTTTTTCTCCCCCACTCCTCCTAATCAAACAAACAAACAAACAAACAAACAAACACACACACACACACAAACACACACACGCACGCACACACACACACAAAGATGGCTCTACAAGTGCTTAGCCACTTCCCTAATTTTGTGGGAAAATGTTTTTTTCTAAAAGCTATTAATACCAATATTATCATTATTTTCATTCAGTTATCATTATCACTATATAATTATCATTATCATCATTATTATTGAAATCATGATCTAAAATCAACAAAAAAGGTAGACAATAAGATAAGAAAGAGTAATATCCGACTCTTTGATAACAAAGCATTAGTGGAGCCACCTCAGTGTAAAAAAATTAAGAAATTGATATTACACTGGACATGTCATGTATTTCATTCCTTCCATAGTAAATGGGTTAAAGCATTTTTTTTTATCCTAGTAATCAGAAACAAAAAAGTGCATGTTAGAACAAATATTTTTTTCAGTATTTATCACCTATATCTTCTTCTGAAGTATAAAGATGGCAATATCAGAGTTCATTTCACAACTTGTTGAACTCTTCCTTTTTAGTCATATTATTCCTAAGATTCTTCCCAATCAATTCAACTTCACTCTTACTCAACCATCACCCCATGCTTCCCATCCCCCAAAAGAATCTGCAATACTCTCCAAACATTTCAACTTTAATGTACAAAGCATAATACAAATTCACCATACTTACTTCACATCATCATAATGGAAGCGGCTGACCCCTAACGTTCTTCCTAGTTCATCGTCACCACAGTTTACGAAAAGGATATCATCGGGATCAAAAAGGTGTCGCTTACTGTAGAGGTAGTGCTTTAACATCAACAAAATCTGGAAGATGGTAAATGGTAACTAACTACTCGATTACAACATTAAAAGCCTTCAGTTTAAATACAAAGGAGGAAATTACACAATTCTTAACAGAACTTTAGTTTTCTTTGCAGAGAAATACTTGCACGCGCGAGCATATATGTATGTACATGACATACAACACTGTTCATTCCAAGTAACTATAGAAACTATATAGACATTTCTCAGTGAACCTCAAATAGTTGAATTAACACAATAAATATACTAGTATTAAGGTAAAGGCTTCATCACAAGAAATATTTCAAATTCATAACATTCACATTCCCAGTTTATCCTTACTACATTCTAGTTATTGAACCGTTTTCCATTGTCTGGAAACCATTATTTGGAGAAAATGTCAAATAGGATGAATTGTATGAATATTAAAGGAATAAAGACAACATGGGAATACACACACACACAAAAAAAGTATTCATTTAACAAACGTGCACAAAGACAAAACATTTATTTAAATATCTAAGAAGTCCATTAAGAATATATAATATATATTAAAGACTTCTTGCAGTATACACTGAGATGCATAATCTGAGTGTCAACTAAAGACAAAATATTTTAGTTGGAAAATTCCCTAATAATTAGTGGTCTACAGTCTTGAAAAATAGTCATGTTATCACAATGCTACCAGGAAAATGTAGTGTGCACTATAGTATTACTTTGTGAAATGTCTTTCCACATTGACAGCTCCAGAAGTGCTTAGCCACCAAATCAATTAGTAGACCTCGTGACCTCACATGATTTCACCTTTCCTTGAGTTTCCATGATATATAATTATATATATATATATATATATATATATATATATATATATATATATATATATATATATATATATATATTTTTTTTTTTTTTTTTTTTTTTTTTTTTTTTTTTTTTTTTTTTTACCAATGCCATCAATATCAATGTTATAATCAATATAAGCATTATAATCATTATAATGTTATAAACATTGCTAATACCAATATAAGATGAAAGAATATATTTCTGATAATCAAGAAAAAGGGTAAACGGGTGAGATATGGGCATGGCATGTTCATACTTGCAGCCCCAGCAGCATCTGGTAAGATTTCTGTTCTTCAAGTTACTGAACATACTAATACTTCCAGAAAACAATAAAAAGAGAGTAACATGCTTAGCTTATATCATGTAAAAGGGCAGAGTAGAATAAAGAAGAAAAGGGATCTATATGATGAAACCATATGAATAAGATCACTAACACCTTTGATATTAAAATTCTAGTATTTCTTGTAACATCAAATCATTGAAAAAATGTTTAGGGCCCAACAGGGTAAGGGTAAATTTAATTTAAACACTTTTCAAAATAAATAACATGGGCTTCTGTGGGTTATCAATTAAAAGCTATTATCATTTGATCAGGTATCATTTTTGAACTGTCTACCTTGATGTATTCTTCAACAAAGGTTTCTAAACTTTTGATATGGAATGCTATTTTTTGAGCAAGTACTGAATAAAAGAAGCTAATCCCAGAAATCATACCCAGCAATCATAAATAAACAGCCAGGAGTGAAGTATTATAGTCTATGGGCATCTCCTGTATGTGCCATGAAAGTTAATCCAGTATTAAAGTTTAATCCAGATCTCTAGTGCGCATGCAGAAGTAGCATCCAGGATCAATTTTTAAACACACCTCTGAACCAGCATTAACTTTTAAGCTCAAAATTTACTCCTGCACAAGTGCAGAATGAGCTAGTTAATCCCACCAATCATGTATTGTTATGTAATGACATCATCAACTCCACAGAAAAGATGGAGTTGAGTTGCAATTGAGATGCCCTATATATAAATGTGTGAACACGAATATGCAAAATTCCAGAGATTAAATTTCTCAAACAAAATGAAGGATGAAGGTAAAGACATGCATTCCTCAAACAATGGCGTGGTATGTCATAAGATCTAGCAGAGCTGCTTCGATTAAATTCAATGAATTTTATTACAAACTAAATCTAAATTCCCAATTCAATCAGCAGCCTTAAGTCTGTTACTTCTCTTCCTGAAACCAAAATCCACTTCTATGTAGGAGGCACCTAACATAAAACTCTAGTTCCTGAATTAAATCACTAATTAATTTACCCATCTATCTATCTATTTAAATATACAGGTATGTACTACATATATACAGATATGTACATAAACCTATATATACATACATACATACATACATACATACATATATATATATATATATATATATATTATATATATATATATATATATA